TAGGATACCAGCATAGAGTTCAAGGGCAAAAGAGGGAGAGAAGAAAGGGAAGGAGAGAGAGAGCAATTATAAATGCTAGATCAAATAAGAGCTCCCTCAGACTATTATGGTCTATTTTGGCACCCTATTATGGTCTAAACAGGGAATACTCTCAAACATAGCATGGTTTTGAGCAACCAGTGAAGTATCATGCAAGAGAATCCCTCTGATCTTGAGGCTAGAAATATTGCTGTGGAAATGGCCTGGGGTTACATCACGAGCCAAGAGAGCAGGGAGTATAATCCTAGCATACTGCTTGGCATATAATATAAAGTCTTAATATGGTAAATGAAATTACCAGGTTTTCAGTCATAGGAATTACCCCACAGGAGAAAGCATGGAAGGTTCAGATGAGGGTGCAGGACCAATTAAACCCAAGGGCCAGGATAGTAAAATCAAAGAGGAAAAGGAGAGGAGGTTTTAAGGATGCCAAATGCTCCGTATCTAAGGTGCCAGGGAGGGACTGTTGGGACGCTGATGGAATAAGGAAAAGACACAGTTAAAAATTGCCCAAGTCATCAAAAGAAGGAATAAGAAGACCCTTCTCTTGTCTCAGCAGGAAGTCAATAGGTCTGGGGTGAAGGTGATAAGTCACAGAAACAGGTAAGCTCACGCTGTCCAGGGTCATGGGGGTTGCTGGGTAGAGATAAGAACTCTAACAAGTGGCTGTTTGCAGGTGAGGGACATAGGGAAGCAATCCCATAGGTACAGGTATTGCTTATTTGAAAATATAGACGACTGACCCCTGCCTAAGACCGATGCATTCTGAAAAGATTGGAAACGTGTGCTTGTAACCATCTCGGAATCCTGCGTGAGGGTCCTGGGTGGTCACGGAGGAGCCGTTCCTGTCTTCCCAGTTCCCGTGGGGACCTTGGGGGAGGCCCTGAGCCTCCTGACGCTCAGCTGCCTCTGTGCAGGGTTTGGGGGGCGGAGGGCCCTGCAGGCACATGTTACAACTTCCCTTCAAGAAAGTCATTTGCCTTCTCTTGTCCTTTAGGTTTGCTTCCAGCTCAAGAGGAAGTTGATTCAGACTGATGACTGGGGTTGCAGTGAATTTCTTCACTTCCTTTCTTGATTCCTGTCTTACTTATTCTTAAATTCATTCTGGTTTCCGTGTGAGATGGTGTCCTGCTCACCTCTTGACTTTTCAGTGACCCTTGCCCCGGTGTCAGTGTCCTGTGCCCTTCCTGATCTTTGCAGACAGGGTGTCCTCACGGCCACCTTGGTTCACATCAGGCTGGCCCGTCCCATCTAGGCATGGACAAGGACTTCCAGATAGATCTCTGTGGTCTAGGAGAAAGTGCTGGAGCCTGCAGCCATCATTCTGAAACCAGTATTCTGACAGGGGCTGGCTGTGGGAGCCCGGGATGCACATCTTCTTTCTGGCTCACCCCTTCATCATGGTGTGGGCTTCGACCCCCTTCAGCTCAAACAGTCTAACTACTGTGTATTGTCTCTTTAGCTACTCTTTTTTTTTTTTTTTTCCTGCAAGCTGTTTCAAGGCAGGGGCCCAGACATCTTGACCTTTGGTTCCCTTAGATTTTCCATCCATAGCTTTCTCCTGGACTGGTCAGTAGTGGGTGCATCGTATGGGCTGTTCACTATAAGGACTTACAAACACCACCTCACTGTTTTCTGTTCACATACATTAGCGCCCTCAATAGGCAGGGTGGATTCGCAAAGTAGGCTTTATTATTATAACAGGACATTAAGATGGGATGTTTTCTAGCTCAGTTTTCAAAGGCTGAGAACAAATAGCATGTGATATCCAGGGCTAGACCGTCGTGCAAGGCTGACCAAGGGAGTGGCTCAACCTGGTTCTACCCACATTAGACCATCACCCACTCCAACCATATTAAAGAATATGAACGACCAATTTTCAGGGCTAATGATGGAGGATTTGGAGTTTTGTTATTAGTCTGGAGCAGACCTTTTGTTATGAGGAAAACAACGAGTTATGCCTGAGGTTTGGTCCAAGGGCAGGATAAAATATACCTCTGATTAGGGATAACAATATATTAGTTTCCTATGGATGCTGGAACAAATTATCACAACTGTATGAGCTTAAAACAATACAGAATTATTGTCTCACTGTTCTGTAGATCAGAAATCCGACATAAAGGTCAGTGGGCTAAAACCAAGCTGGCTGCAGCTACATTCTTTTATAGAGGATCTAGGGGAGAATCTATTTCTTTGCTTTTTTCCAGCTTCTACAGGCCACTCAATGCCTTCCTCCACCTCCAGAAATGTTGGGCCAAGTCCTTCTCACACCGCCATCTCTCACATCCTGTCTCCTATCTCCCTCCTCTACTTTTGAGGACCCACCTGGTAATTGTTATTACATTGGGCTCACCTGGGTAATCGCAGATACCTTCCCCATCTTAAGGTCAGCTGCCTAGCAATCTTTTTTTTTTTTTATTTCTGAGAGAGAGAGAGAGAGAGAGAGCGAGTGTAAGCAGGGGAGGGTCAGAGAGAGAGGGAGACACAGAATCTGAAACAGTCTCCAGGCTCTGAGCTAGCTGTCAGCACAGAGCCTGACATGGGAGATCATGACCTGAACCGAAGTCGGACGCTCAACTGACTGAGCCACCCAGGTGCCCCATCTGCCTAGCAATCTTAACTCCACCTTTGACTAATGCCTTCTTGTTGTGGAGCCTTAGTCATCCACAGGTTCTAGGAACTGGGGAGAAATGTTATTCTGCCTACCACGCACAGGGAGTAATAGGCAGAAATAAAAGTGTTTCCAGCATACACCTTGTTAAGCATTGCTCACCCAGTAAACTTAATGGAATCCATTCTACAGGTAAGGAAAATAAAGATCAGAGAACTTAAGAGTAGCATCCATTCTTTTTTTAAATTTTAATTTCAAACCCTTGTATTAAAGGCTGACTTTATTTATTTATTTATTTTTGAGAGACAGAGAGAGTGTGAGCAGGGGAAGGGCAGAGAAAGGAGACACAGAATCCGAAGCAGCCTCCAGGCTCTGAGCTGCCAGCACAGAGCCTGACACGGGGCTCGAACTCATGAACCGCAAGATCATGACCTGAGCGGAAGTCAGCCGCTTAACCGACTGAGCCACCCAGGTGTCCCTAAAGGCTGACTTTAAGAGGAGAGTCCATTCTTGACTGTGCATTGGAATTCTCTGATGCTTGGCCCCACTGACTTCCTCCAGGATTCGGATCTAACTGATCTGGGATGTGGTATTGGGACTGATATTTCGTTAAAGGGCTCAGATGATTCTAGCCGATGGCCAAGGCTGAGAACCACTGGGCTGAAGGAATTACTCCAAGTCATTCTGCTACTGTGAGCACCTGGCAGGGCATGGAACAATGCCTGGGTCTACCTTAGTCCAAAGCCCCCGCTAAGGTGTTGGTGGCTGAGGAAACTCACGCTTCTACCCAGTGACTGTCTCGTCATTCATCTCTGCTAACTGCACTCCAGCTGCATTGGCACAGCAGTATCTTCACTCTAGGAAATAAGTCATGTTTGTCTAGTCAGATCATGGTAAGCCCATTCCCTATTGTCAGTGGTTGGTCTAAAAGTGGGGATGCAACTCCATTATGGCCAATGAGATGTAAGGGGAATTTTGCTGGGAATTGCTGGGGAGGAAGTTTTTCCGAGAAAAGAAAGAGGCACTTGAAGGGAAGGCTACCATGCCTTGCTTTCTTCCAGCATGGATGCCATCAAGAGCAAATGTGATGTCCGGAACTGTGGCAGCCATTCTGTGTCAGTGAAATGAGACATCATCCATGTGCTGAAGGCAGCAAAGACGAGGGCTGGAAAGAGTCTGGGACCTTGACCAATCCTAGGATTACCCACCTCCTTACGTATCCTTTCTTTAAGGCACTTAAGTTGGGTGTTTGGTTCTTGCACTGAACTATCCTGATGGATCCTCTAAGCAGGTTAGAGGTTACCAGAGGTCTTCAGTGCTTTCGGTAGGGCTTTGCACAATACACGATGTCATTATAGACCTACGTGAATTCTAGGGAGTGCAAGGAAATAGAGAAGTCAGAAGATCTGGGTTGAACTCTGATTGTCCACCTCCTCCCTGTAAGAAATTAGGCACTCCACAAGCCTTTCTGAGACTCGCCTTCCACATCTGCAGAATGGGGGCGATGGTCCCAACATAGGAAGTATTAATGAGTCTGATCTGTGCCCAGATGAGATGGATATATGTAAACATATGACACACCACATAAATGACAGAGTCTGATAATCAGCTCCATCTGCTTTTACTCTGGGTTAATTCTCTCTCTCTTGCTTTGTCTCCCTGTCTCTCTCTGGGATGTGTGTGTGTGTGTGTGTGTGTGTGTGTGTGTGTGTGTGTGTATGTGTGGGTGTATGTGTGTGATTAAGAGAGAAGAGAGTTTTAAACAGATCTGCCTTCCTAAGTGTGTCCTTTAGGGGGGTAAATGATAAAATCTGTTACTTATCTGGGAGCTCAAAGCAACCATAATTGAGGTAATAATTCTATCTCCTTCAGTCTACCCTGCTCACATTCAATCAAGTCCTATCAATTTTGCTTCCTAAAAGGTTCTCAGATCTCTGCCTTCCCCCATTTCTACCCTCACTGCCTTAATACAGACCTCATTTTCTCTTGCTTAGACTATTACTCTGACCCAGTTGGTCTCCCACCTCCATTCTGGAACCTTCACAAGAGAATTCTAACACACAGGTGGGACTGTGTAACCCGGGGGCCCACCCTCGATGCATCCTCCTTTCTTGTGTTACTATCAACACCTGTTCACCTATCCTTTTCTCTCTCCAGAGGCCAGGATCCCTGCCTTGCTGGCAAATCAGCACTGGGCCTGGGGTGGAGAGAATTTTCCACAAATATCGGTTGGAAGGAAGCAGCAGCCTGGGGTTCCAGCCTCAGGAAGATCATGAAGATGTGGTTTGGTGTCTCCCAAGGATTGTCTTAAATAAACAAATCTGAGCCATGCACGCATGTAGACATTTTATTGAAAGTTAGTGGCTATTTTAGAGAGTAAGATGCCCTTGGTGGCAGCCTGAGAGGGGGTGGCAGATTGGGCAGGGGCAGCTTGGGAGACGGTCACTTGCTGTAGCTCTTGGAGCCTGGCTCTCCGGTCAGCCGGTCCTCCTCTTCACTCTCTGCTGGCGGCCCCTGCTTGGCCTCATCTGAAACAGGAGAGGCAAGGCTGGTCCAATCGAATCAGGTCTTCTCCCTCATCTCTTCCCCTTTGGCCCTAAGAGAACCCAGCCTCTGATGGGCCTTTCCAATGATTGCTCAACAGAGGGGCATCAGATACACCACTACATAGCCAGCCATGCTAAGGGTACAGTGGGACTTGGGATCAACAGAGAGCCACTTGACCTGGAGGCTAATGCATCATTGGGCGTCTAAAGCACGTTGGGCAGGGTCATGTCCCTGCTGAATGTTCCAATCCCATCTCTTGCTGCATGGAGAAATTCCATGCTTCTGAAAACCATCAGCCCCACCATCACTTCCCCGGGAAGACTTTCCAGACCGTCCCTCTGCTAGGCTCCCACTGGCTTGGGCAGCGACTTCCGTCATGGTGCTGGGAAAGCCAAGGGGCCATTTGCTGGGTTACATCATACACTCCCTCATTCTTCCCGGAAGCTTCTTAAAGGCATTGCATTTATTTCTGTATTTCAAGGGCCCTCATCATGATTCATTTTCTGTCTTTAACTCCTGTTCAACAGAAGTTCTCTCTTCAGCAGGAAGAGGTGGTAATGCCCACTTCTTCCCTGGCTAGAAATCCCACACTGAGGCCCCAGTGTCCTCGCCGCCCCCCCCCCTCTCTTTCTCTTACTTCCCCCTCCGGGCCCCATCAGAGCAGGAGAACCCCCAGAACTGGGGGCTCCTTGTGGAAAAGTGCTCAGTGATAGCACCCTATGATTCACAGGCTCCACTGTTCCCCACTCAGTGAGCGCAGTTAATGCAGAGGGTTACCAACCAACCTGCCCTCTGCCCAGCCTCCACCTGCCCTCTGCCCAGCCCCCTGCCCTCTCCAGCCTCCCCACCTGCCGTGGCCTTCAGAGACTGGATGTACTTGGACCAGAAGGAGCAGTCAGCGCTTTTCAGGCCCTGTCGATTGGGAAGCAGGACACTGAACTCCTTGTAGATCTCCCCGCCGGCACGTGGGACAAAGTCAGGCCAGGGGGCTGCAAATTCGGGGGCTTTCCTTGAGAACTCATGTGGGTAGTTGGGATTTCTGGGAAAATGACAAGAGAGAAACTTCCATGAGGGAAACATATCATTCCTTGTATCACTTGGGATCACTTTCCACTTGGACTCAGGGTCTAGGGACCAGATCACACACTTTTAGGTGTCAGGGCAGAGTTTGAACCTGGCTGATCTGATGTCTAGCACTGTGCTCTCTTGCTGCATTACAAACGGCTAGAAAGGCCCCTGACTCACCTCACCAATCTCAGGCCATTTCTGGAAAGGGAAAGACATGAGTTCATGACCCAGCAACATACTCAGCGAGATATTTTGTTCTCATGCCGGGGGGGAGGCGCTACTGTCCTCCTGTGGGTGGAGACCAATGAAGGTGCTGAATAGCCAGCAATGCCCTGGATGCCCTCACCATGAAGACTCATCCTGCCCCAGTGTCAATAGCACTGAGCTCCAGGAACCCTGATCTGGAGCCATTACATGTGGCTGAATAAGGGAGCATGTGATTGGAGCTTCCCTTCACCGAGGTTAATCTCCACAGACTATCCTAGCTAGAAAAGGGAGACTGATACAGGGAGCCCAGTGGCAGGTGACCACAGTGGCTGGAGGGTGGGGTAGGGTTAGTCCACCAATGTGGCCTTAGCGTTCAAAGGGAGGAAAGGAGGCGTGATGGCAGCAGCAGGCACATGCCGTCCACTCACCCGGATCGGATGAAGTTGGAAAAGAACTGCATGATTTTCAGTGACAGGCTTTTCTCCTCCAGAGTAAACTGCCCCTCATAGGTAGGGTGGAAGGGAAGGCCAAAGGCATACTGAACGTCTGTCAGCAATTCCAAGCTGAGAAAACACATGGGAATAAGAAGAAGCAAAAATGAAAGGAATCATCAACTATGGAAAAGTCCAACGACCCAAATCCAATATTCCTCCCCAAATGAAGACTTTTCTTTCTTTATGTTTAGGATTCTGTTTTTGTGCTTAGTTTGTTTAATTGAGATTTGGTTTGGCCTTTAGTCCAATGGCCCCCCAGATCCAGGACACATCTATTGGCTGAAGCGTAGCACCCACCTCTCTGCAAACAGTGCCTGTGAGCGACTTTCCAAGAGAATGCTCTTTGGACCATACTCCATGACATTTGCAATGTCAATAGAACATCTGTTTGTTCAAAATAGGCTGTAGGGGCCCCTAGGTGGCTCAGTTGGTTAAGCATTTGACTTCAGCTCAGGTCATGATCTCGCAGTTCATGAGTTCGAGCCCCACATAGGGCTCTGTGCTGACAGCTCAGAGCCTGGAGCCTGCTTCGGATTCTGTATCTCCCTCTCTCCCTCCCCCACTCATGATCTCTCTCTCTCTCTCTCTCAAAAATAAATAAACATTAAAAAATAGTCTGTATTTTGAGCCCCTTCTCTGTGTTAACCTTTGTTCATACGACTTACACTCGCATACCTCTTCAAGGATGACATTCACCATATAGCCTAGGCCAGTGCCTAACACAGCATTGCTGGCTGGTCAATAAATATATCGTATGACTGAAATGAACAACTAATAAGCAGCATGCAGGAGGGAATAAAAATTTAGAGGCCAGACGAGAGGTTTGAGTGGACTGGGTTGGAGCTGTCTTGGGGAGACGTGCTCAGGGCTACCCAGGGCCATGGGGGTGAACCCTGGGAGAGTGTCAAAGTGGAAAAGCTAGAAGGGACTTCACAGCTGTGTAGTAAAGAACCTGACTTTCCCCAAAGACTTTGTGCCCTGTGATCATACCTTTGTTTAGGGCAGAGGCTGATTGCACCGAATTTTCCACAAATACAGTCACACTTGACAGTCTTAGGGTGGGGACAGGTCACACCAAAAGACCATATGACTTAGGGTGGGGGAGTTAGGTCACACGGTATCAGTGGACCTAGAGCCTGAGATCAACCATGGGCAATCAATCAACCAGTCAATCGTGCCTATGTAACTGGGCTCTAATGAAACCTCTGAACGCCAAGTTTGGGTGAGCCTCTCTGGTTGGTGCTACCCTGCGGGCACTGTGACACATCAGGGGGGCAACCCTTCCTGACTCTACTAAGAGGGGAATTGTGGGGCTCTGTGTTTGGAACCCTCCTGGGCTCTGTGTTGTACGGCTCTTCCTTTGTCTGGTCTGAATTCACTCCTTTCCCTGTATAATGTAACCGTGAGTCTAGCAGCTTTCAGTGAGGTCTGTGAGTCTTTCTAGAGAATAATCAAGCCTGAGGGTGGTTTGGGGAGGCCCTTGAATTTGCACTTGGTGTCAGAAGTGAGTATGGTCTTGTGTGGACACTGCACTCTCTCACCTTGTAGTCGGCCACAGCTTATCACAAGAGCCAACTCTAATTCCACAGATGAAGACAACGAAGTCCAGAGACATTTCCTGACTTACCCAGAGGCACGCAGTGAATTGAACAGAGGTGTCAGCTCAAGAGCATTGCTGGGGACATGATCTAGCAGGGGACATGCAGCCTAGCAGCCCCTCCTGGGCCTGAGTCCTCCCCCTTTCAAGCCGGTGACCTCTGACAAGTTACATGGCCTCCCTGATTCCCTGTTTTGTCATCTCTGGAGCAGGTACACAAATACTGGCTTCACAGGGTCATTGTCAAGGTTGGAATAAGACGGTATTTGTAGCAAGGACTTGAAAGGTAAGGGGAACATTCTTTCTCATCCACCCTTCTACTTTCTATGTAATCATCATCATCAAGCTAAAAGCGGTGTTTCCGGCCATGGGTACAGAACGCCACCAGTGGTTCTCATCTGTGCTGTTATAACAGGAAGTCACCCACTGGACGCATGGGTGGGAAAGGGCTGGGGCCAGCTCGCTCCCGGATACAAGTGGTTTGTGTGGATGTGAAATCACCCTGAGGGCAGGCACAACGTTTCGGGGACAGCATAGCTCTGCCTATGAATCAGAGGGATTCGTGGTGGTTATTCCAGAGACTGGGAAGGGGAACCCTCAACCTCAAGGGTGTGAAAGGGAACATATCAAGCCAACTAAGCACCTTCCCTGTTGTCCGTCCTCTCACAGGCTGAGAACTGAGGTGACCAATGGGACAGGGCTGGGCCCGATGCTCAGGTGCCTAGCCTAGCCTGGGGACCTCCAGGGGTTCAAGGGCCGGGCAATTCCCCTTGGGACCATGAGCATGATTGATTGCCAAGTGCACATCTGACTGTCAGCAGGGCATGGGGGGAACAACATGGGACTGAGTCACTCTGCTGAATCAGCTCTGTCACTTACTGCCGGAGTAACCCTGGATGAGTCACTCTGTGTAGGTCTCAGCTTGCTCATCGTGAAGCACCAGACCGAACCAGCCACGGCACATGTGAGCCAGTTCCAAGCGCTTTGACGAGAGCCGGGCAGCGTTGTGATCAAGGTTACTGTGTGTCAACACCAGGCTCCACAATGGAAGGGGCCGTGGAAGGGACGGGAGCCCCTGTGAGACAAACAGGGCTAATGGCATGGGTTAAGAGGGGAATTTCTATGACAGAGTGTGGTGGCTCTCTGCAAACAGTGGCAAGTACCCTGCACGCATTTAGAGAGGGTTTTAACCTTATTCCCGAGCAGGGAGCAGGAAGGGGTAGTGGCATCAGTATTTATACATCCTGGCACCCAAAGAGCTAAGTCCCTTGTCCAGAGCCCAGAAGCATCTGCTCACTGTGCTCGGTCAAGTGCGGACAAGCACCCAGAGTCTGCCATGGCCGAGGTCACCTGTTTACAGCCAGCTCGACTCAGACTCAGTGCCTGTTTGCAGGTGCCATTTTCCTGGTGTTGCGTCAGGAACCAGAATGGGCTTCTGACCATCCAACACTGCGGACCCGCCAAGGACATCAGTGGTACCATCTGTATATTTCCCAGGCGGTGACCCAAGATGCCGCCACATGCCTCAGACATGGGAGTGCCAGGACCCGGAGCCAAACCCCCCAGACCCCAATCCAGTTCTCTGTCTACATGTGTGTAGGGGCTGAGGGTCACTGAAAAGCACTAAGGACCCAGCTTCTCAGTGATGTTGTAAGACTTGGAGGGAAAAGGAACACAGAGAAAAAGCAAGCCAGGAAGACAGAATTAATGCAGTAAAACTCATCTCTCACGTACCCTTTCTTGGTAGCTGCCAGGTTCCCTTCACCCCATCCCCACCCCGCCCCTGGTTATCTCGAGGGCCCAGAGTGATTTGCAGGGTGTTTACTGTGGAGGAAGGTCAGGCTCCAGGAGGGCATTTTGTCACCAAGGCCCCGCACTGGAACGTGGCGATGCCAGACCTACGCCGGGTCTGTGATTCCAAAGCCAGCTGAGCCCTGATCTCCCCACGCACCCTAAGGGCTGCCCAGCCCCCGGGGGCTGCAGAGGAGCCAGGGCAGCCTGCCATGAGCAGGGGACATCCTTTCCCCTCTGCTGCCACACCGGGGCCGCCCCTTCCCCTGCGGTGTGGAGAAGGGGCCCCGTCTGTTTCCCAGAGGCCCTTCAGGGAAAGTGGCCAGATGACTTTTCCACGGCTGCCCTGAGAAATGACCACAAACTCAGTGGCTTAAACCAACACAAACATGCTATCTCATCGTCCCCAGAGTTCAAGGGCCCAGCATGGGTCTCGCTGGGCTACAATCAAGGCGTCAGCAGGCTTTGTTCCTCCTGGAGGCTCCGAGGGGGAACCTGCCTCCTGGTTGTGACAGGATTGGGGTCACTGAGGCAGGGGACACAGTTCCCGTTTTCTGCCTGGCTGTCAACTGAAGGCCGCTCTGAGCTCTGGAGGCCACGGCTGGTGGCCTCCCTCCTCTACCATCAGGGCCTACGTGCGGCATCTCTGACACGGTCCTCTGCCTCTCACTTTCGCTCTGAAGGACTCGTGTCCTTACACGGGGCCGCTGGGATAACCCTGAATAATCCCCTGTCCCAGGAACCTTAACCACAGCTGCCAAGTCCCTTTGTCACGTAAGGTAACACAGTCACAGGTCGTGGGGATTAGGATGTGGATGTGTCGAGGGGCTTCTGTTCTGCCTACCACAGCAGCCTGTCTGTCCTTTATTTCTTCCAAACAGTTGCGTTCCAACAGCGTAGTGAGCAGGGTTTAAATCCCAGCTCAGCCACCTAGGATCTGGGAAGTCTTGGGCAAACTGCATGATCATTCTGGGCCTCAGTGTCCCCATCTGTCAAATGGTGACACAATCAGGCTTCCAAACATTAAACGAGGTGGAGCAATATTTCAAATTTCTTGGGGCACCTGTGGGGGCTCAGTCGGTCAAACGTCTGACTCTTGGTTTCGGCTCCGGTCTTGAACCTCACGGTTCGTGAGCTCAAGCCCCGAGTGGGGCTCCGTGTTGATAGTGTGGAGCCTGTTTAAGATTCTCTCTCGCCCTCTGTCTCTGTCCCTCCCCTGCTCATGCTCAATCTCTCTTTCGAAATAAATTAATTAATTAAAAAATATTTCAAATCTCTTGCTCAGTCTGTAGCTCATCTACTCATTCCCTTTTCCTCCCTACCTGCGAGAAACACCTGAACACTTATGCGGGGGGGGGCGGGGCTTTAACCTGAGAGTTCCATTGCAGGGTTCCGGGGGACCGTGAGTTCCCTGAAATTATATGTGAAACGGTGAAACGCTGTATATCGATGCTATCTCGGGAGGGGCTTCGTAGCCTTCCTCACCTTCTCAGGAAGATCGCTGCCAATGGTGTGCTGGTTAAACTTTAACAATTGCCTTTTGCCAATTTCCGTGTTGTAAGCCCTCTTCCAGAGAGAATCTAGACTACCAAGGTGCCATCATGGATCTCGGAGTCGGGAAAGATGGCTCTTAGGAGCAGGTACGGGTCCCCTCCAGCCTGCCACTGTCGGTGACCCTGGC